GGGGAAGCCTGAGGGTGCACTCTTAAACTTACACTGGAAGGGGTTGTTGCTTGCTTTGTGGGACAGAGATAAGAGGATTTCTTGCGAGAGACACACACACACAGAGATTGTCTTTAACGTCGAACCCGTTTGCAACCAATTTTGGTTTCGAAATGTTGCATTTGTGATTGAAACTACATATTGAAAGGGTGAATAAAATGAATGCAGACACAATTTTAATGTTGGATTGGGAAATGTAACCTCACACCAGAATAGAGCCAGACTAAGCCATATAAATGTGAGCCAAATAGCTTATGTGGCTATTGGTGAACTGAACTGTGCCTAATTCGAGGATACACACCTGCTTCTTACTTTGTCTCCTTTTTGATTCTTTCATGTTCTCTTTAATCTTAGTGTGGTGATGACCCCTAGCACTCAAACCCATGGGCACATTCACGAAACCGAATGCTCTGGAAAAAAATAGATCAGAAATAGAACAGATGGGCAGTGGACTCCAAAAGCCTGAGACTACACATGCTTCTAGTCTCAGTTGTAGACAATGACTTAAATACATCTCTTTTATGACTTGACTGTCAGGATGTATATATCATATATATATATATATATATATATTAGATTCCAAACCCTATTGGTATATATATATATATATATATATATATATATATATATATTTCAAAACTCTTTTAACTTGCTTTCACATCATTCTTTTCCATTTTACATGGTGTTTTTAGAGAACAGGGCTCAATGCATAATCAATGACATAGATACCCTGGGAAAACCCTTGTGTCTTTTTCTTTCTCACACACTCATGCTGATGATTGGCTATTGTGACTGATGGTGCTTGTGTTACGGGTTATATTGAGCGCTCACTGCTCTTTTTTGGCACAACTCATTAAAAAAACAACACCCAGGAGGACACAAATGAATAAAGTGCTTAGAGGTATCAGAGTGTGTGTGTGTGTTTGAGGTGAAGTGTAGGTGCATGTGTTTGTGTGTGAGTGAGACGTGCACAATCCTTGAACCCCTGGGAGATCATTGTAAAAGGATCAAATTAAGGGCTAATTTACTCTGAGTGTCTTTCTTGTCTTATTTGGGGCAAGAGAAGTGGGATTAGACTTGAGAGGAATTATGAAAAAAAAAAACTATTGAAGATGTGTGTGAGAGAGAACTGTGGCAAAAGCTTTATGCCTAGTGTGATGAAACATCTCACCAGTGTATTATGGCAAATCAGAAATCCAGCATTCTCACAGTAACTGTCCAGCACACTAAAAACAACATAAAAGCAGAACGCAGTCTGTTGCATGTAGTTTGTGCTGTCTGTTCAGTAAAAAAAAAAAAAAAAACGCTATTGTTTGTAAATTTCAACCCACTTTGTATTGTTACAATGTCAGTACAGTAGTACATCTAAATGACCATAGTTTACTTTTTCTTTGTTATCTAGGGGGTAGGGAGTAGAGGTTTGAGTGGAGATTTCGGACACAGCAAAAGTTATCAAGTTTAAAGGGATACTCCACTTTTTTTTTTGGAAATAGGCTCATTTTACAACTCCGCCAGAGTAAAAACAGTTGGGTTTTACCGTTTTCGAATCCATTCAGCCGATTTTCTGATATTTAGACGAATTTCAGTTACCAGACAGTTTCTGGTCCCATTGACTTCCATAGTATATATTTTTTCCTACTATGGAAGTCAATGGGACCAGAAACTGTCTGGTTACTGATATTCTTCTAAATATCAGAAAATCGTTTGAATGGATTAGAAAATGGTAAAACTCGACTGTTTAACTCTGGTGGAGTTGTAAAATGAGCCTATTTCCAAAAAAAAAAAAAGTGAAGTATCCCTTTAAAATGGAAACTACAAACACAGAGGTTTTTCAGATTTTCCAATGCTTTACTGCCATTGGCCGCACTGACTACAACGCGGTGGAACAAGTCGACACCATTGTGAATAAAAGTTTGATAAGAAGTATTTCCTACTAGGTATATGACTCTGGTCAAGCTTATACAATAGGAGCAGACTGTGAGTGGCCTTGGACGGCAACACACCCACCCAGTGAATTATGGGTGTTGAAGTTTTCCTATTTAGCCTAAGGAAAAACAATACACACCCTTTTCTCCATTTTCTCTAGTCAGATTTTAACGATAAAAAAACACCTTTCTAAGCAGCCGAGTTTTATTGAAAATGCCATTTTTCCAGCAAAGCTATAATAAGTAATAATAACAATTGCTCATATTAATCCAATTTAATCACAAATATTTATTTTGTGGAGATTATGAGGTAACATGAGGACATATAATGAAGGTAGGATGTGGAGCTACTTTACCAGTTCACATGTGTGTAGAAACAGACAATATAAGTGCAAAAAGGGGAATATGTTTTCTGATTGGATGGATGATTGTTTCATCTTGATCATTAACCCTTTAGCTAATTAGTGTGAGACGTAGCTTGTCAGCCGTTGTTAACTTTCTTTGTATAAGTAACTCACTATGGAGATGTTTTCTTAAAATGTTCATGCATTGTGTCTGTTGCATACCCCGAAGAAGGCTCTCAAGCCGAAATGCATTGGTTATTTTTAGAATTGATAATGACAGACCAAATCTTTAAGTAGACATTACAACGAGTGACTTTAGAATTGTTTTATTTGCATATTACTTATCTACAGTACACAGCACTGCATTTTGCACACAGAATGCATTCTTATTCTCTCTGCAATCCATTTGAATTGCTTTCTTGCTAGTCCATATGCAGACATCTTTGGCATTAGAGTTTAAAAGGCATGTTAAAAATGTGACCTCTGCATTCTGTTCTAATTCCATTGCACTAGCGAACTCACGCGACTGTCATGGACCGTTTATAGCCTTATGACTGAGGTTCCAGGGCACCAACCCTACTCTTATTGCCCTATACATGGATTTTGTGCGTAAAAAAGAAAGCAAAAGAGATCTTATACATTATGATTGTAATCTCAAAACCTGAATAAGAACTTCAGTGTTTCACAATTGCAAATGCTATTTTTGCAATTGTAAATGAAGTGGTTAATTAAAACCTACGTCTGCAGTGATAAATGTGAAATATATATCTGAACAAAACATACATTTGCACATATATGTTCACAATTACTAAAATGAATGTACTTGCAGCATGCGTTCAGAAGCCAGAAGTGCCTTGGACAAATCAGATTTATCATTTTGTCAGTGCAGTTACTGGCACACACTCAATTCACCGTTGTTTATCTATCATTATCAATTTTACTTTCGCAGTACTTTCTCTTTGGTTGTCAGGTTACTACAGGTCTCACTTCTCCAGGCCCCTGGCATTCATCGGCCCCATTAACCCAGCCAAAATGCATTTTTGGTACTATGGCAAAATGTAACAACATAGCAGCTTGGCATTAATTTGAAATGTGCGGTCACTGGTATTTGTTGCGTTTATCGTGGTTTTACAGTGCTACAATCAATTGAACTTTCACTTTAAATTGACTTTAAATGGGATTTGTAGGCTTTAGTGAAAAAGCTGCCCAAATGTAACGCCTTTGTCCAGCAATGCCAACGTATTTAATTGTAATGCATGTCCTACACCTACAAAGGTGAAGACCATTTTCAGTGCCTCTTCGTTCACATGGGTGTTAAATGAGTGTTTAGGGGGGAAGTATGGAACGTTGCCATTTGGCAGATAGAAGCAAGTGTAAATACAATGTCGTTTCCTCCCATCTGTTTGCTTAATGCCCTCTATGGGGTTAGAGATGTTTAGATCGTTTGACTCTGCTTAGTGTTAAGCTCATTTACTCAAAGTGTTGCAAGCGACCGACACATTTTCACCTTAAAAACTATTCCCATCTAATCTGAACAAAGGCAAATCATACTTCATGGGATAGTTCACTTTAAAATAAATTTTTGGTATGTTTTAGCTGTTTAGCTTAGTTATGGTTTGTGTCCATCAGTCATATAATGCAGGTCTATGGTCACCACCTCAAAGAGCATGCACGGAGAAGTCCAAATTAAATATGATTTAATGACTCGGAAATGTAAGTAGACATTGATTGCCTAAGACACGAAACGAGCGGTTTTATCTCGTTTTTACCTCTTGTAACCACAGGCACAAAGCGCCCGCGCCCTCAGATCACTTGGACATGGCTGTGGTTACAACAGGTAAAATGATATAAATACTGTTTATATACTATAATACGTTTTCTCACATAAACCGCTCGTTTCGTGTCTTAGGCCATAAATGTGTACTTACATTTACGAGTCATTAAATTATGTTTAATTTGGACTTCTCTGTGCATGCTCTTTGAGGTGGTGACCATAGACCTCCATTATATGACTGACAGACAAGAACGTTTTGACCTAAAAATATCAAAATGTAAAATACTGTGTGTAAACAAAGACACCTACATCTTGGATGCCCTCGAGGTGAGCTAAAACATATCAAAAATTGATTTCAAAGTGAACTATCCCTTTCAGTCTTTCACATAAAGTATGATTCAGTGGTTAATCACCAAACAAATGCTCACAATCAATCCAGAAGTGTCCTTTGTGTTAATGGATTTTTGCATTGAAAATGTGCACTCCGTGTAAATATGCTCACGCTCGTCCATGATGACAGACAGTGAACAGCGACCTTCTTCACGCGTTTATGATGTTCATTAAAGCGTGGGTAAGAGCAACAGTAGGCCATCACTCCGGTTGATTCAGGAAAAGCTGATGAGCGCACTCTTGAAAAATCAGAATTCAGAAAAATGTGCTCAATACTAAATAAAATTTTAGGTTTGCCCTCAAAACACTTGGAATTTCTTGCATGATGAGACTGGGTACAGGTCATTGTCATTATATGGACTAGTGCAAACAGGGCTTTTGTTTTTTTGTTTTGTGTTACATTTCTCCATTTGTAGTCCAAATGAATTTTAATGTTTGGATGATGAAATATCTCTTTAACTCTTATAATAGACAGTTATGACTTAAATGATTTCTTAACCAATGATTTTCTGTGTCCCTCTCTTTCAGACTGGCAAATAGCGACGCTGATATTGTTGTTAGCCGGAGCATCTGTGACATTAGTGGCATTTCTTATCGCACTGATCTCTTTGTGTAAAGGCACACACAGAAGACACTATCGTATGGTTGCAGTGTTCCTCTTCTCAGCAGGTAAGACCCACATTTACAACTTGCTGGAAAACAATGACTTTGGTCATAAGCCTTTAGCAGGAGAATTCTGAGAATGTGACCCTTGACCTCTAATCACACTCTAATGACATCTGGCATAACATCCAATGAGCAAGTGGAAAGTGCTAAGCACATTTATAGTGTAAATGCCATTGGGTCCTGATGGTCAGACCTGAGGTTTTTAGATAGCTTTAGTCAGAAATTTGTTTCTCTTTCTTGCCCACACACCACCAGTGGTGAGAGCAGTTCACACACGTAAGTCACGAGTAAGTCTCAAGTCCCTGCCATCAAGTCTAAATCCACAAGTCAGTGGCTCAAACCTAGCAAGTCAAGTCAAGTCACAGCACCAAATAACAGAAACATGTATATAACCAATGAAAAGTATTAAAAAGAGCATGTGACTTAACCTTGTTGCTGCATTGGCTCCTCAAATTGTCGGTCAGACCTCATAACTCCACACACCTCTATCGTGAATGAAGTGCCGCACTCATTTTGTAGCATCTATGCTTGTTTGCAAAGCAATAGTAAATGAACTGTTTCTTTGAATAAGTACAGCATTTTCTTTATTTAAGAAAACCTACATGTATATATATATATACATATATGTTATACACATATGTTTTTTTTTTAAATCCACAGTATAAATGCTACATTTTATATTTGTGTCTAGTTGGGTTAAAAAATAATTGCTGTCAGATCTCATTTTATCGGGTCTGTCTCGGGTCGGGGTTTTCTTTAAAAATATAAATATTTATGGATGTTGTTTGGGTACAGACCAAATCACAATCCAATTTCACTGTCTGGAAAACGACAGCATGAGCTTTCTGCACAATATGTTCTCGAGAATGTAAGTTGAGAATGACATCAGGCTGGGTAAATGATGACAGAATGTTAATTTGTTTGGTGAATTATTCATTTAAACATGTATTTTAGCAATTAAAATGGCAGAACAGAATCTGAGGGTTAAAGAAAGGTAGGATGTGAGAGAAATTCCTTACCACCAACCATTACTTAACATATGAAAAACGTTCTTTCACCAAAAGCCACCCTCTCCCCTCCTCTCTTTTCCCAGACTTTCTCAATCAAGAGTCTGCTGTTCTCTCACTTAGCTCTGGGTGGATTCTGGCTGTGTGAGGATTATCCTTGTATGAGAGTGCAGGGAAAAGATAGAGAGAGAATAGGGAGGTTAAGGATTTAAAAAACTGCTTCTGATGTGCCTTGAGCAACGTCTCCAGTGGCTTTGACTTCTAATGCCAGAAAATTACCTTCAGAAACAGCGGCTACATCAAATAAAATATGCTCTATATGAGAGCGCCAGCTCCCGTGAAACCCTCACTAGCTATTATATCTGTGTGTGTGTGTGTGTGTGTGGGGGGGGATCTGAATTTGCACTTCAGGAATGCATGTTCCATGTGAGGAATCACATGCTGTTCCAGAACCTCTGTTAGTTTAATCGTAACAATAGGGTAATGGCACAGGGCAGAGGACCTAAGCAGTCTGATCTGAGGTCAGCACCCTGTTATACTCAGTAGAGCACCAACAGAGTACACAATTAGTTATTTGCCCCACAAATAACTACACATAACAAATAATAACACGGCCGTTGAGACGTTTCGTTGCTATGATACAGAATATCCGCAGCACAGTTTACTTGTAACTGATTTCGCAGATCATTTGTTTCATACTAAAAAAAATATTTTTCATCCATTTTGTTCGGTTAGCTCTGCTGGTTGATGTCGTTATACAGAAAGAATGTTGTGACAGTTGGTCGGTGTGGTATTAGTCCCGCCCCTCCTCCACTGTGATTGGATGGGTGGGTAAAAAGTGACAGTGATGAGCGCTGCGTTTTATCCAAAGTTGAACATTTTTCAACTCTCGGCGACCAGTAAAAAAACTGCGTGAAAAAAAACGCTCAGCGCCTCGTTATGCTCATGGTGTTTAAAAAAACGCGGCGCTCCCATTGAAAACATACGCCAGGCGCGTGGGAAAACGCTTTGGTGGACACACGGCCTTAGGGTTAAGAGGCGGTCACACTACACTTTTCGTTCTATTGACTTCCATTCAAATGCATGCAAATGCGTCGGACCACAAACGCAAGCTCATGCGTAAAGTTTCGCATTTCTTTGCTTTCCAAAGTTTACGTTTAGTAAAGACGCTGCAGAGTGTGACGTCATATCACAACCGTTTCAGTGTCTGAAGACATTTTGCATGCTCAAAGTCTATCATGGCTTTAGGAATAGAGTGTCGATGTTACGACGTCACTCTGTAGGCCAAACGTGGATGTGATTAGCATTTTAGCACTACCGGTTCCCTAGACAAAACAAAGCCTCTAAATATTTTCACGTTTTGATATATGACATAAAAACGCATCACAGTTATAACCTGCTTGTGGTTTTTTTTTTTTAACTTTATTGTGTCTGCTTGTGTTTTTAACAAACTTTATATAGGCTTCAAAATGTATAAATTTTGGATTAACTTGTAAAGATTATCTTGATAGACAAAACGTTTAAGGGTCACAACTCTTTGTTAAAGGGATACTCCACTTTTTTAGGAAATAGGCTCGTTTCTGGTCTCATTGACTTCCATAGTAGAAAAAAAATATATGGAAGTCAATGAGACCAGAAACTGTCTGGTTACTGATATTCTTCTAAAAATCAGAAAATTGGCTTAATGGATTCGAAAACGGTAAAACTCGACTGTTTAACTCTGGGGGAGTTGTAAAATAAGCCTATTTCAAAAAAAGTGGAGTATCCCTTTAAACACAGATCTTATTTTTTTCGATTTTTCAAAAGTCTATGGGGAAAATACGTAGCTTTTCGATCGAGGAAACCCATGCGCCGCTAGCTTCCGAGTTGTCCTACAAAGTGACGTCATCACTTCGGCACTCTCTTAGGGTTCAGATTAGTAGAGTTACTTATAGTTAGTAGAATTTCTGTTGGGGAGCATCAAAATAAAGTGTTAGCAGATATTAAGCAGACTTAACTTTTACTTGCATTCTAAAAAGAGTTAGTTGAAATGTAGTTGCAAAGTTACTTATAGTTATAAAGAAAAAAAATGTAGCCAACAAAATAGTAGTTTCGGTAACATTTTATTTTATGCTCCAACCTGAACTAACCTGTCGTCTCTTACTGAGATCCTAAATTTGGATTCTCTGCTAGTTAAATAATGCTCTAATGATTATTTGCATCATCTGATAGTTTTACTTTTTAAATATGTTCTCCCTTAAAATGGCTTTAGTGTAGTAGCTTAGCTAAAAGCTTGACTGTAAGAAAAAGACAGTTTTAAAGTAGCCTATATTACCCCGGTTTTAAGCATGGCTAATTAATGCTATTGCTGAATTTGGTTATCCACCAACTGGCAAGTAATATTTTATGTACCCGCTGTTTTATTTACTCTCATTTGGCTCTTGGCAAGTACAGCTGTTCTCAGTGGTACCACACTCAGTTTACACATGCATTAAACTGCTTTCTACTTGCCAACAGTCTTTTGACATTATGTAAGGCATATTTCCTCTTATGTAAGACAGTTCTCCTCATTGGTGCACGTAACACTGTCTAGGAAAACAGAGTTTATGAAGGAATAGACGGAAAGATGAATTCAGTTATTTCAGTCTGAAGAGAATGGTGTATACTCTAAAAAATAAAAGTTCCTAAAGAGGGTTTTTGCACCGATCCCATAGAAGAACCATTTTTTGGTTCCCCAAAAAACCTTTCAGTGAACAGCTCTTAAAAGAGGTTTTTCTTAATGTTAAAAATCTGAAAGAACCCTTTCCATCACAAAGAACATTTTGTGGAATGGAAAAGTTTCATTGATGTTTAAGGTTAATGAATGCCATTGAAGAACTTCATTTTTAAGAGTGAAGAATGAATCTGCCTGTATTGCGATTTGACACATTGTTTACTCCTGCTGTCCAGTCAACTTTTCCATGTCTCTCTCTCAAACTTGTTGACGCCGTAGACTAGTGCAGTGGTTTTCAATCCTGGTTCTTAAGAATCTCTGCACATTTTTGTCAACCTTAAAGGGCTAGTTCACCCAAAAATTAAAACTTTTTTAAATTAATAGCCAAATACAATCGGAGTTCTATTAAAAAATATCCTGGCACTTCCAAGCTTTATAATGGCAGTGAATGGCTGAAGAGAATTTGAATGAAGCCCAAAAAAGTGCATCCATCCCTGATAAAAATACTCCACGCGTTCCCGGGGGTCTTCTGAAGCGAAGCCATGGGTTTTGTAAGAAATTTTATATTATAATCTAAAATAACTAGCTTCCGCCAGACGACTTGCACCACAAGAGTAACCTGTGACGCATGTATGATGTAGGAGTGTTGTAAGCTTAGACTCCTCTCGCGGTTTATACAACAAATTGAAGCTCCTCTTCTATTATATAGAAATCCTCCAACATTTCTCATTAAAATGGCTAATTTGCGACCAGTGTTTTGTTTTGCTCTTTCCCCTGAGCTTCTGTGTTCGTCATTGCGTTGCGCGTCGGGTCAGGGGTTAGTCTTCCACCGTAAATCGATGCGTACAGCCGTCTGTCGGAAGCTAGTGATTAAAGTTTATAGAGTTTTAGATATGGATATTTTTCTTAAACCAGTGCATGGCTTCACTTATGGCGCTTTTCCTCCACACAGTACCAGCTCGACTCGACTCAACTCGGCTCAGTTTCCCACTGTGTAAAAGTTGTACCTGTACCTGCTTTCGGGTACTTTTTTTGTATCACCTCCTGTGAGGATCTGAGCGAGCTGAGGCGATACTAAAATGTAACGTGAAAGCAATGCCGACTGCTGATTGGTCAGATAATCGTCACCATTCACTGCGCCAGATGGAGTATCCAGAATAACCCCACCATTTTTACATAGTTTGGCCAGAGATAGTTACTAAACTTACTACTATTATTATGGAAACTCGTAGTCAAACAAGGAGGTGCAGAATTTCCTTTGTTTGGTTTCCGAAGAGAGGATCCTGCGAGAGCTTGATGGGGCA